GCTCTGGGCTCGCACTGCCAGCGCACGAACGTTTATTGCACGTCTATGTATATTATATATCATCGCACCAACCCGAGGTGACAGAGACAGCGGGCTCAGCGAGAGCCAAGAGTGATTCTTTTCCCCAATCTCATCCCTTTTTTGCCACGGTCCCACAGATGGGAGCACCGGGAGGAGCTGCAGGAAGACCCCCTGCTCCCGGCCCTGCTCATGCAGGAGCAGCCCTCAGAGGCCAGGGATGTCGTGGGAGTAGGAGAACATCCTTACAGCTCCAAACCTGCCCGAAAAGTAGAATATCAGGGCTCTGCCTTTTCTTTATGCAGAGAGCCAGCGGGAGGGAAAGCCCCGTCAAACCACCCCCCAAATCCTGTCTCCCAAATCTTCTCTCCCTGTTTTGATTCCCAGCCTTTTCCCATCAACTTTCAGCCTGCACTGTGTCCTGCAAGGAGGATTTTCTGCGGCTCAGCTCCTTGTGCTGCTTTTCACATTCCATGTCCCTTCTTCTCGCCCTGCAAAAGGTCATTCCCTTTTTCCTCACGCTGGCCATCTGCGATCGGAGAGACCTCCGTGCCGGCTGCTTATTCCCAGTCCTGGAAACCCGCAGTCTTTCTGCCCCGGGAGCAGGACCGGGATAGGCGACGACGTCTCTCCACATTCCCTGACCCGCGACCCCCCGAGCTTTTCCTCCCCGTCCATTTTAAGGTCATGCAGAACCTCATTTCACTCCACGTTTATTTCCGTAGCTCTTTTCAATCAATGCCACAGCCTGCTCGCCCGTGGCTGCCTCATCCCAACGGGGCCGGCGCTATTTTTACATTCCAAAAAAAAAAAAAAAAAAGAAAGGAATAATGAAGCGGAGCATGAAGAAGCCGCTGGCGTGGAGTGAGTCACTCCGTGCACGTCCTCCCTGGCCCGCGTGACCCCCAACTCCAGCCGCTCCAACCTGCTGGGGCAGAGCCGGAGCTCGGGATTCGCTCCGGCGAATCCAGCGGGCCGCATGGCAGGATAGAGAGGGAAAAGGAGGGTCGGATCCGTCCCGGAGCCGCCGGCTTTGAAGCACCGTTTCTAACCCCCACGGATGGCGGCGGCACCGGGATCCTTCCGTGGCCGAGCCGGGCTGGGAATACGTTAGCGGCACGAGGCTCCGTAAGGAAAAACAGAATAAATCAAAGTCCCTGCAAAGAGAGTTGTTAAACACCCGGCCCATTAAGACACTTTGGACTCTATTAAAAAGCGCCGCACATCCTCGCGGTGACTCAGAGGTTTTATGTGCAAAGAAGACAGTGATGTAGCAGTTCTGCTTTCGGAAAGCACTTCGGGCTCTTTTTTCCCCCTTTTTTCTCTTGTTTTGGTGCAATGGGGCTTAGCCGCTCGCGGGCCGTGGGTGCGGGCGAGCGGAGGCCGCGGGAGCCCCCCGGGACGGCGGGTGGGCAGGAGGCTCCGGGGCTGCCGAGGAACGAAACCTCTTCACGTTATTATTTTTCCTTTTCTTTCCCCCCTTTTATTATTATCGATCCGTAAACGGGTTTCATTAAACTTCCCGAGTTTTCTCCCTGCAGCGAGCACCAGCGTCTTGGGATCGCGGGGGTATTTACAGCCCTTGGCAGGGCAAAGGCTCCGGCCGAGAGCTCAGGGCTCTTCTCCACCCCCAAAATCGGCTTTTCCACACCCCAAAATCCCATTCCTGCAGGCAGGAAAGGCACGGAAAGGCGGGAAACGCTGGCGGCGGGGTGACTCAGTGCTTGCAATCTGCTTCCCTGCATCCCGCGGAGCGGGGGATGCTGGTGCCAGCTCCGCGTCACCGAGCTCCTTTCCGGCTTTATCCCAAGGTCCCGAGCCCTGCGTGGATGATCCAGGTGCGAAACTCACGGCGCTTGTGCCCGCGTGGCAGGTGGCTCCGCAATTACTGGAGGGGTTTTTAATGGAGCCGCTCGCTGAGCACCATCCCTTGAGCCCTTGAGCCCATGCACACACAAATATATATGTATACATATATATATATATATATTTGCATGCACACGTATATACGTGCACGTGCGCACACCCACGCTCATCCTGCAGGAGTTGCTCCTTTTCCCGCTCCATCTTTGTCACTTGGACCAAAAGAAGCCATTCCCGTCCCTCTCCCTTTCTGCCTTGATGCTTTTCCATGCTTTTGCCTAAAGCCAAGCGTTTCCGCCCCGGAAACCTGCCTTTCCCGCTGGCGCAGCCGAAGAGGAGCAGAGGGAGGCAGCACGGGGAGCTGTGGGGATGCAGCGGGAGCTGCTCCGCAGCCCATTCCGGGTCCCTTTGGTGGCAACGCGTGGACGGAGCCCCGTGACGCGGCTCGGACGGCACCGTTGGAGGCCTCTGCTCGAAGCCCTGGTCTCCTGGAGCTCTCAGTGTCTCCAGGGACTGAGATTCCTCTGAGTTTCCCGGGCGCCGTTCCCGTTGTTGGCCAGCAGCTCCATGGAGAGCTTTTCCCTGCTCTCTACCTACCCCCTTGTTGCCTCTTGGGCCCGTTGTCCTGCCCCTCTGAGACGAGCTCTGCGGCCTCCACTGGTCTTGGTTGATCTTCTGGAGCAGCGGAGCTGAAAAGTGGGCCTAACACTACAGATGTGGCTTCATAAATGCTGAATACAGAGGAACAGCCACCTCCCTCGAGCTGCTGGATATGCTCTTGCTCTTGGTTTGTCCTCCACCACCACCAGGTCCTTCTCTGCCAAACTCCTCCTGATGCCCTCTGCCCCATCACCCCAGTGAAGACATCAAGCAGCATCGGCCCCAGTATTCGTGTCTTTAAGACACCGGCCAGGCCAGCTCCGTACGGACACACCTGATTTATCCATACGAGGTAATTTGGGAAAGGATGTTCAGCAAATCACGTTGCTCCCTGCTCCGGTGCTAAAAAGCAGCTGCAGAGCAGCTCGAGCGGCAGCGAAACAAGAGCGATCGTTGGTTGCAACGAGGTGACACCAGTGCCACGAAGCAGCCACCACCGCCTGGGAGCAGGAGCTGCAGCTCCCTCGTGCACGTTAAAAGTGTTGCAGTGCAATCGGATCCGCACGGACGCCCGGGATCGGCGTTGGGATTGCGAGCGGGGGGCTGTGCTGGAGGTTGCTGTGACACGAAGATGTTTCTCACCCCAGGAAGTCACCGGCTTTTCTCAGGCCGCTGTCGCAGGCGCGGGACCAGGCGGGTACAGGGGACATGGGGCGATGGCCCCATGGGGTGGATGGAGCTACGGAGCGCAGGTCGGCAGCGGGGCAAGATACGGCTGGGAACGCTCTCCGGTGTTTTTCTGGGCACAAAGACCCTCTTCAGCTGCTGTCACTCTCCAAAAGCGGCTCCATCCTCTCCAGCCCTGCGGTATCAGCTCTCAGACCAGCCTGTGGGGACGCCCATGTCCTGCTTCTCCTGGACAATCCAAAGGGACAAATCCTCCTTCTTCAGATTTCCTGGACCCTATCACGAAGTTACAAATAGATGAACTATCTCCCCATCTTATTATTTCTAATAAAAGTCCTTCTTGACCATTACAGAATCTCCATTGCCTCCTCCCTCCCTTTGGATAGAATCAGAGAACCACCAAGAAACGCAGGTGGGTTGAGATCTCCGGAGGTTCCTGGTCAAACCCCTGCTCAGAAACGGGTGAACCTCAACCAGAGGAGGCTGCTCAGGGCCTGTCCAGTTGGGCTTTCCATATCTCCAAGGATGGGGAGCTCCCCATCTCTCCAGAACCAGGTTTCCAGCCCCCATCCCAGCTTCCCACTGCCTCGTTGGCACCAGCTCCGGCGCCCGTCAGACCCTTCCTGCACTCACTAAAGTGCTGGAAAACCAACTTGGCAAAAAAGCAGCTATTTTTCCACCCAGGGAATGGAATCAGCCCAGTCAGAGGAGCTGCCCAGCATTAAACCTGGCTCAGGGAAGGTGGTAGGTGTGTGGGAACAGGAGGATGGAGATGCGGGAGCAGGAGGATGGAGATGCAGGAGGATGGAGATGCAGGAGCAAGAGGATGGAGATGCGGGAGCAGAAGGATGGAGATGCAGGAGCAAGAGGATGGAGATGTAGGAGCAGAAGGATGGAGATGCAGGAGCAGGAGGATGGAGATG